CTCTCCCTCTCTCTCTCTCTCTCTTACCCCTCGTTTTTCTACCCCCCGCCCCCCGATATGTATTAGTCAGGCCGCTGCTGCTTGCCAAAGGGGTGCCGCCGCCGTGCTAGAGCTTCTTGCGATGCTTCAGCGGACTCGATAAATAATGGTTCGGACTCTGTTGCATATTAGAACAACGACGCTGCTGCTGCTGCCGCTGGTTGCGCGCACGGCAGAGGAGAGAGAGAGATGGAGAGAGAGAAAGTGTGTGAGAGAGAGAGAAAGAGAGAGAGAGAGAGAGAGGAGCGGCGGGTCTCCGTCTCTGTCGGTAGGCAGGCATAGCGTAGCTCCGCTAGCGGCAGACAGGGTCAGGGATGCTTCCGCTCGGTCAGCAACGGCAGCGCGGAGTAGCTTTAGTGGTTTCCACTCCCCCCGCCCACACCCTGCAGTCCAATATTAATGACGGTCCATAAATTAGGTAACGACGTTGCGGCCGGGCAGGGCTCTGCCAAGTGTTAACGTATTCCCCCCCTATAATGAATGGACGAGCAGAAAGCTAGTCAGTCCGGGGGAGGCTGGTGTGTGCGTGCGCGACCAGGGTCTACTTGTGCACGCACTCTGTGTGGGTGTGAACAGGTGAGGCCGGGAGGGAGGTGGGGGGCTGGAAAGGGATTTACTCCGTCTCGGTCTGAGCAGGTAGTTTATAGGAAGGGGGAAGGGGGGAGTCCTGCGCCTTGTGGTGGCGTGCAAGAGATATTCACACAAAACAGAAATGCTGGAGTGATGTGTCTCGCCTGAAAAGAGTGACGGAATTTCACGTTGCCCAATTAGAGCGATGTTCATTAAAGTGATGAGTCAGGAACATTGCTCCATATGTGGGATGATTTCGAATCGAGCGACAACCGCGATTCCAATGTAGCTTTCTCTCGTTGCTTTACTTTAGCGATTACTTTGGAAGCCATGTGTCGCTCTTTGAAGTGCAACCTGCGTGACTCCTGCATTTTCAGTGTAACCAAATATTTTAAAATATTACTATTTTTCAATGTCTTTTGACTTATTCTCGGTGGTTTAGCCGTAAAGAGGGTTTGAGGGAGATTACACAACCCTGCAGCCGTTTACGCGGTAATGATTCGAAAACGCTTTTGTCTCCCAGCCCATTATCGGTCGCTGCTAACGGCTACTCTCTTACTCGCCCCCCCCCCCCGTCCGCCCTCTCTCTCTCTCTCTCTCTCTCTCTCTCTCTCTCTCTCTCTCCCATAACTTCCAGGGTGTTGGCGCCGCGGAACGAGTAGCTGCACCCAGTACCGCCATGCCACGCGCGCCCCGCGCCATCGCGCCCCGTTTGCATGTAAACAAAGTGACGTTCCCCCGCGAGGACAAATCTCCCGGAAGATTGTAACAACGTGACGGCGGTGTTGTCGTTGTGGAAGCTGCTCCGGCGCCGGCGCTGCAAGCGGATGCACCAGCTGGGGAATACTAACGAGCCAAGGCGAAACGGAGTCCACCGTGGTCCTATGGTTTTATTTTTAGTATTTCGGGTTTACACACAAGGTGGAGGAACTTTCAACTTATTATTTGTATTTTTCTGCACCAAACCAAACCAAACCCTCACCCTTAACCCCCCCCCCTTTTTCCAAAAAAATAACATGAAATGCATCAACACCATGTGCATTGTTGCCAACAGTCGACCTGGCAGGTACACGCATTTGCCAACAGTCGACCTTGCAGCTCGTCCAAGCTTGCGGGTATACACTATTGCAGACAAGCGCGCACTCCCCCCCTGCCCTTCAGCTCTTGTATGTGCACATGGCTGAGGCTGTTGGTCTTACAACAGTGAGTGCATCGTCTGTTAAGTGGAAGAGACAAGGGGGGGGGGGCTTGCTTCCCGAAACAAGTTGACTGTGAGGAGGAGGATGCCATGTAGGTGGTTCGTTGCGAACGGTGTTCAGATTAGGACTGCAGCAGAGAGGGGGTTGTTGGTGGCGGCCGCGGTGGGCGCGCGGGGCGGGTTGGGGGTTGGGCGGCAGACACCAAGTGTGAAAAGCCTTTGTTGCTCGTACAGCCAGCCACAATGGCGCCCGGACGGCCATCCTTTTCATCGACGAGCCGCAGAGAGCAGACCAGAGTGAGTGACTGCCGGGAGAGGGAGAGAGAGAGAGAGCGAGAGAGAGAGAGAGAGAGAGAGAGAGAGAGAGAGCAATAAGAGATATGTGGGGTTCTGGCGATAACTCCCCCCTGCCCTACTCCTTTTCCCTTTCTCTTTTTCTCGAGCGCCACGTCGAAAAATTCCGCTTGGTACTCTTGGATCCGTTTGAAGCAGCAGCAGCAGCAGAGGGCGTTAGGCCGTTTTTCGGCGTCGGCGTTTTCATGACGGATGGGCGGGAGATAGCGCGCCGGCTCGCTTTTGTAATCTCCGGGCGCCGAGAGGGGGGAGGGGGGGGGACATCGAGCGCGAGCAGCGTTCTGATCCGGGGCCGGCCGGGGGCGGGCTCCTGCTGCCTGCCAGGAGAGGATACCGAGCCCGACACTGGATATGGACGGGATAACGAAGTAAGCCGAGATGTACAGCCAGCAGGAGCAGCGACGGCAGCGGCAGCAAGTCCCTTGTAATGAGGTGGTCTGTCCGTGTTGGCAAAAGAGAGCGGATGGCGTTGGTGGGGGTTTGGGGAGGGCAGAAGCAGACGGAATAACTTCTTCGAGGTGGACCACCACCACCACCTCCGCCGCCGTGCCCTCCTTCTCCTCGACATGGACGCAAAGAGGAAATGATGGGGTTTATGGTGCTGCAACGCCGAGCAACGCGCGCTGCTGTCTGGAGGTGGCGGCGCGGCGGCCATGTCCTAACAACGCGCTCCACTAAAAAGTTTTAGAAAATAAGTAGAAAAATGTTCTTATAGTTTAAATATTTACTCGTCATCGTCAACAACTTACAAAAGAATATTTTGATACTTTTAAAGAACAAGCAGAACACAATTGTTATATTATTTTAAAATGTCTGTTATTTTTGTTTGCGTAGGTGTACCGCGGTATCCCGTACGCGATGCCGCCCGTGGGCTCGCTGCGCTTCATGCCGCCCGTGTCGGGCGCGCTGTGGCAAGGGGTGCGCCTGGCCGAGCACTTCGCGCCCGTCTGCCCGCAGCGGCTGCCGGACATCTCCAACGAGACGGCCGCCCGCGAGCGCATGCCGCGCGGCAGACTGGACACGCTGCGCCGCCTGCTGCCCCACCTGCAGCACCAGGACGAAGACTGCCTCTACCTCAACGTGTACGCGCCCAGCCAAGGTGAGAGAGGAAGAATAAGGAAAAGTAATATAGTCATTTGAATTGGGAAATATTATTATTTCGTAAATTTATCATATTTTTCCTGAGAAGTTTCATTGTTTTTTTCAATTCTTTGGATGATATTTCTACTTACTTTTTTTATTTTATTTTTAATTCTGAAAAAGTTTTTTTTTCCGGTGAATTTTTGACCACTGAAAATATCATATTGGGGTGATTCTCAGAATACGGGCCATTTGGGAGTTCCTAAAATTTTTATTTTTTTTGTCGAATTTGCTAGGTTTTTTGGTCGCAATGGTTTTATTTACCTTCAAATAAGATACGTGTAAAGTGGCGATAGTTCAAATCACGTACTTCTAGTACAACGTTAAAAGACCATATTGTGGTCACGTTCAATCAATGATAAAACTCAAATATTGCCTCCCGCACCTTTTAATTAGTCTTTTGTTTGCTCCACTAGTGTGTCGTACTCATATTTTACATCCAGTCATCCCCATTTTATGCGTTTTAGTATGACTAGAACATTGCAATAAATAACTTGTTTTTCGCCCCAACACTGCTCCACAGATGCCCAACCTCATAATGTACAGTTCTAAATTAACCCCTTACTACATATTTTCTCATTAGGTCATTACAACGCGTTACCTGTAACTAAAAGTTATTAAACAGAGGTCAGACCTACAAAAGGGGATACGGAGTTCACAAGTCAGAAGGTACTAATTGAAGCATTACTAATCCGGGGTTGCAGATGCAAGGATCCGCTTAGCCACAAAAGAAGCAGCACATCAAAACCTTCCTTTTCATCGAAAGGGGGATTTGATATGACGCAATCGTGCCTGTGTGGAGGCGACATGGTATTCACACTGCAAAAGCGTACCAGCCAACTTTCGAATTTGAAGACAGTTTTTGACGATGACGAAGTAGGAGCTCTGCCGATTGCTTCGGGGAACATTAATAGTCCCTACAGATTAGTACTGTGGGCGTAGAATTGTTACTCTTCCTCTGCCCAGTTTGACGTCAGTGCAAACATTGTGAACTCCGTTACTTTTTGAAAAAGTTAGTGAGAACGACTTTAGTCGTCTCCTGACGAAATATAGAAAACTATTTCCACATCGAAATTCATTTTTTGCGTTCCCTGGATATGTCACTCCAGAAATGCAATGTGCCTTAGACGACTATTCCCTTAAAATTGTCCGGAATTTGGCAAAGTCCGCATGAACTCAGACATTAGGAACGTACTGGAGTTCACATTTTGACCATTTAAACTGCTCTAGTCACCTACTGTTGCAGTATTCTTAGGTTTTTAGTGTTGCACCAAGTAGTATTAGTGCTTTCGAGTATCTAGATGGTATAAAAACCTTTTCAAACCATATCACATAGTTGTGAAGGGCCGCGGAATCTAAACGGCCCGTATTCTGAGAATCACCCATTGGTCATCTAGAAAGCCTTACGCTCGATAACGCCCGTCATTGGCCACTACGAACTTACTTTCCAAGTTCATAGCCTGTGCGAGTTCTCATGGCACCTGATACACAGGCATCAGGTTGTCTGCAGGACGTTCGTGTACTGCGGGTCGGGCTACCTCCCGGAGACTCGCAGGCGCTGAGCTCCCGCAGTTTGCCGAATGAATCCGAGGAGATTTCACGTGCTGAGCGACTCTCTATATAGTGCCTCAATGAAGCGACAATTTTCGTTGTAGGCGCTGATGGTATTCATTAAGTAACAATTATTGTATGGTTCAATTGTATGGTTCAAAGAGGCAGGGTGACTCACCAGAAATATAGAAAAGAAATATACGTGGAAAGAGAATATTTGTAGATTGTAGAATGAACGGTGAAATCACTAGAATTAGTGACTGTCATGAAGGAAAGAAAGAAAACAAGCAAAATTCGCACTTGTTCTGAAAAACGCGAAAATACGCGAATAAGGAGATGTGGACGAGGATGTGTTTGGGGAGGACGAGGCCTCACCCTCCTCGTTTCCAGTCCCCGCACAACACACTCATCGCTCGCTCCCTCTTGTGTGGCGCGTACTCCAGTTTACTTGTGTTGTAGAGGGGATATGGTGTACTGCGCCTCTCCGAGTGTGTGCGTGTGAGAGGGAGCGGCGGGAGAGAGGGTCGTCTGGCTCGGATTACCGACACACACAAGTCCCGTCGCTACCACGACATATGCAGGCCACATCCCCGGCCCGCTCCCCTCCCTTCCCCCGCGCGGGTCAAACCCTTCCGGCTGGCTGTGTGGGGGCGGGGGCCGCCCCCGGGGGCGTGGTCGGAGGGCCCGGAGGTCATCGCGTAGGGGGCGGCGGCGTGGCTGCCGGCGCGACCCCGGAGGCTGTTCGGGTCGTCGGCGTCGACAGTCCACCCGAAGGTTTCGGCCCTTCCGCCGACGGCGACCGCTATTTCTGCCGCAGCCCCCGCACTGCTCTGCCTCTCGAACCCCTCTCCTCCTCTATCTCTCAGAGCTTGTGCGAGAGGGAGCGCGGCAGGCCGTGGAGGGGGAGGGGGTAGTGAGAGCCTGCAACAAAGTCCCCCCCCCCCATCCCTCCCGCAACCCCACAACTGAGCCGCGGTCGCGAGATTTACGGCCCGATACCTCGCCGCCGCCCTCCGCTCGACCCGCCCCCTCTCGGCACGGCTGGCCTGAGCCTCCTTCCGGTCCGGACGCCCCGCCACGCCCCGCCACGCCCCACCACGCCCCGCCACGCTTCGGCTCCCCGGATCGCGCACACAACCATTCGCCGCCTGCATCCGCGCAACGGTACAGGGCGTCGCTCTCCCCCTTGACGGCTTCGCCATGATGCAG